CTGCAAAACCTGGGGAATTCAATCCCAGCTGAGCACACAGCTAATACCAACTGGCTCACATAATAGCCTTAGTGGTGCATGCGATCGCTTGCAATGCAAGCCCTCCTGGCTCTATAAACAGTTGCAGGGACTAGGAGGGCAAGTTCTGGAATAAATAAAGCGTGTGCCCCGAGCTGCCCCAGCACAAAGAACCCCACATGCTGGCAGAGACCCTGAATGGTTTTGCAAGAATATTCTAGAGGGCGAATCGGTGAATCTCAGCTTTCTGAGTGCCTATACAAAAAGTGGGCTACTTTCTTGAAAGTCTAGGCTCACCAACACTACCTCTGAGCACACACCTACCCAATATCGGGATCCAAGCCTTAGGCGTCACCGACGTCCCTCATCCCATTGACATCATCCCTCCCAACTCCACGTCGATCTGGGATCCATCAGGCTGAGGCCACTGGAGTGCGTGATGCTGAACGTGTTATCAGTTTCTATGTAAATATTGGTGTTTCCTCACCCCACGGAGGCAAGGGGAGGCAAAACAGCTTGGACGCGTTTGATTTAAACTAATTAAAAGCAGAGGGCTGTGCAATTCAATATATTGATTTTACCAGTGGGACTTAAATCTTGTATAATAAGTGTACACAGCTGTGGTTCCCTCCCACCACCATGCTCTCCCGCTAATCCCGGAGTGCATTCCTTCTGACAATAGCAAGACAGATCCTATACATCCCTGCCTGTGCCCTGACCCCAGAGACACAGCAGAGCCCGAGAAGGCAGGCTGTGCAGTGGCCAGCCCCATCCCCTGTGTGTCGATGGGCCCCAGCCTCGGCTGCTGGGTGGGAAGGGCTCTCCATTCCACAGCTCCTCCACAAAGGGGCAGGACGGGAAGGGTGGAGGCGGCAGCCGGAGGACACTGTGAGGCTCGATGAGGGCCAAATATGACCTTAGCAAGCGGGGTGGGCAAGATATGAAAGCGATCGGGGCGATCAATCAATGTCCACGGGACTCTGCCTGGGATGAAATCATCACTTGTCTCCCAGTTCAGCAGGCATGTGACATGCGCTCACATCACAGGCATGCCAGCGGTCAGGGGATCGTCCACGCTCCGTGTTTATCTGGGCAAAGGCTCGGTGGCCGCCACCATCTTTGCTGAGGCTGAGGCCCCAACCCAGTCCTCTGGAGCTGGGTCTCAGGCATTCTTTTCTCCACGTAGGGAAACAATCACCAGCTCTTCTAGGCACCACCTCCCACCTTCCACAGGGAACCTCAGACCCAAATGACAGCCCTGGGATAAACACCCAAGCCAGCCATCCGAGCTGCCATCCAGGGCCCAGCCTTTGCCTTGATTGCAGACGGGAAATACACAAAAGATCCAAAACAGTTCAAATCTGGGTCACATAATATCCTTGGGAAAAGGGGAGGGGGGAATCTTTGATTTATAGACCCAGGAAAATGAGGTTTAAAAGTGATTTTGAAAGGGTTACTGAAAACACAGCTGTTGGTGCACCCCTATGGTGAAGTTGGTCTGCAGAGAGAGGGAGGGAGAGAGAGGGAGAGAGAGAGAGAGAGGAAGAAAGATGAAGGAGGAAACCATGTGACATCTCTATTAACCTTCCTTTGCTAACCAGAAAGAGCTGGAATGTGAAGGAGCCCCTTCCAAATTCTAAGGCGGGCCAGCTTACAGCTGCAGGCGCCTGCAGCCATGCTCAGTGGAGCACCTCCCCAAAGGACGTGTTTAAATTGTAACAGAACCTCTCCCTACTACTCCCCAGTGGTAGGGCCTGTTCCGAGGGGTAAAGGAGAGATCTTAACGCCAAACACTTGTCTACAGAAAGGACAGCCAGATGGGGTAAAGTGCAAACCAACCGCTCGGTCTCCCTTCTGCTTCCCAGCCTGAGTTAACAAAAGCCACTTTCATGTGCTGGCTACAATAATGACAGGGTTCTAACTTCCCCTTTCTCTAACTCAGCTTCGAAGATTAAACAAATTTCATTCCTTCCTAACCTGGCCCAGAGATAAACAGGAGTCACGTACACCCTCTCCAAGCCGGTTGGCTTTCTAGAAGATTCTGAAGAGAGCCGCTGGGTTTTCCAGAGAAAGAATGGTTGGGGTTAACGGCTAGACTAAGTCTCTGCAGGATCAACTTTGCCTGGGGACTGTTTAAGAGAGTGTGGCCTGTTTTGAATTCCAAAATGAACTCTACCCAGAGGACTCAGGGGCTTGTTAATCCAAACCAGTTTACAGATCTTGCCATTGAACTTAGGGGCCAGAGCTGGGAAGATGGGTGTCCCACGCAAGTAGCCGACTGGCTTTTCCAGGGGCTTTCTGATGCAGGCTGGTCTTTGCCGTCTGGGAGGGTCAAGTCTTCCCAGGCAGCAGCACCTGGTTTTGTGGTGTATTTCCCCCTAGTGTAGATCCCACTCAGCCTGGCGAACTGCTCAGATTCCAGCGAGAACGACTTACAAGAACAAAAACCAGTTTGGCTGCAGACAGAAGGGTGAAGGATCTGCAAAAGCCTTCAGGACTGAGGCAGGGGTCCCCCAGCAGGCAGGCCCGGGGAGCGGTGGAGGTGTGCGGGGGCGGGAGGGGGCAGCTGGGGAAGCCAGTCTGCAGGAACACCAAGTGCAGCAACAGAGACAAGGGTCGGCTTGACGGGAACCGGTGACATTTCCTCACTCTGGGGAGTGAGAGGCTAAGAGTCAACTTGGCTTCCTAAAGCTTTGTCTATTTCTTATCCGCGTGACTGGCGGTCCAACTAAGCTTTCTCGGCAGACTCAGTGTCGGGACGAGTTTACAGTCGGAATATCACCCCTCTTCAACCCGACTGCTCCCCCAAATGGCTCCCAGGGAGAGATCCCATCAGCAGAGGCAGGAGGTGCATGGCTGTGCCGTGGCCCAGCAGAGCTTAAAGACACATCTACAGCCAGCTCTTGGCAGCTGCAGTCTGGGGCTTCCCCTAATGACCTATAGTTTAGGGACAGAAAGAGAAAGAAAACAAGATCCAGGTCCATGGGTTCTCTTAAAGGCCACTCTGCTATCTAATTGGGAGTGATGGTCCAGAAAACCGGGGCCTGAGAAAGTCAGGATGGTCCGGCAAAAGCCCAAGGCCAGCCCCACTGAGTAAGAGGCTCAGACAAGCCAGTCTTTGTCCTTTCAACATGAAAGAATGGACTGAAAGGTGTGTGTGTGCAGCCAGAGGAAGCCACCCAGCTGTGGCCTCCCCAGCATGCCCCAGCTTGTACCCAAGGCCAGGGGGAGCGACCGCCCCCGCCAAGTTCCCAGCAGGGCCGGGGGAGCCGCCCTGGGAGCCACCTGGCCTTCTGGGATGCAGGAGGCCAGCTGGGGCCACACTGCCTGACCTGAAGAACAGAGAACTGCCACCAGTCAGGGATTATATATCACGGCTTGATGAGCCCAGCAAGGCTCTGAATCATCAGTTAGGACCTTCCTGGAGATCACAGGGGGAGAGAACAGAAGATGCGGAAAGCCCCTACCCTCGCCCCAAGGAAAGGACCCTATTAACCCTGGCTTTCAGATGGCTTCACACATCCATGCCGACCACATACTGCCAAGCAGGCTATTTAGGAGTGCTCTATAGTTTTTAGTAATAAATCTACATACTTTAAAAAACGGACACAGTGAAACACAGCCTCCATCTCCCAGCACCCTGCCCCCAGGAAAATCTCTCTGTAGTTGTCGGGTCACAGCTTTTTCCTACCTTCACGTCTTGGAGATTGTTCCAAAGCAGGGCCTCTTCTTAACAAGTGTCTAAGGAGAATTTAAACTTGATTCATATTGTTTGGGCATCTCTATCACCCACCATGACCCTTGTCTCATTATTTGGTATTTCTGACCAATAACAGAGGCAGACAATGGCCTCCCGGGGACTCCAGGGCCTTTATCTGGAGCTGGAAGGATTAACGTGAGACCCCTTCGGCGCCCCAGGTGCCCAGCGGGGGAGGGGTGGCCTTCAAGCTGCATTATTTCCAAGTTGACACAGCACCCATGGTGTGTTTGGTGTCTTGACTTGGGGCTTTCTCAGCAACTTCCACAAGCAGAATACAAGCGGCTCAGGAAGCAGCATTATCAGGGTGTGTTATCACCAAAGGCAAATATTTGATGATCAACCCCACAGCGCACCGCCGGGGGTTAGTTTGAGCAAGTTAGACACATGTAAGCATGTGAGCGCACAAATGCAGGGGGAGCTGTCCCGGACCAGCCGCAGCCCAGCCTCGCATCACTTGGTTGGCTGGGACTCCGGTAGGGAAGAGGGTTCCCTAGCCACTCGGTGGCGGCCTCTGCTCCGAGGTCCCCAGCTACCCAATCGCCAAACCCCGTGGTTTGCGCGCCACACGTGATAAACGCTGAAAATGGATTCTGCCCGCCCGGGACCTATCATTAAATATTTAAAATAGAAAGCTTGCAATGGCAACGTTCTTTCCCCGGCTCCAGCCGAGAGCCCAAAGGTAGGGGCCCGGCGGCTGGGAGAGGAGCCCCGAGGCGCTCCGGGTGCGCGCCGAGACAGGCGCACCGCAAGGGGACAGGTAGGGTTGGCCAGGGCGGGGAAGGGAAAGGGATGCTCGCGATGCCAGAGCCAGGCTGGACTCAGAGGAGCAGCGAAGGAAGGGCGGGAAGGCAGCTTGACCCACAAGGGCCCTTTAAATCCAGGTAGCGCGGCGGGCCGCTGTAGCCGGTTCAGCTCACATGACCCAGCCGGGCTCTTTGAACTGAGCCGCGGCCCAGCCCGCACCTCCCGCCCCAACCCGCGGCGAAGCCAGCTGAGACTCAGGACCGATCCTTCCCTCCCGGTAGCCCCCACAAACCCGATGAGCGTGCAAGCCCTACCGGGGGCGCACAGAGCTTAGGGCCCATTAAGACCCCGGTGCGAGAGTCTCTGGCGGGCACTGATGCTTTGCAAATGGAAAGGTGGACCCGCTGGCTGAAAGCAGCGACCCTCCCTGTCCCAAAGTGATCCCCGTCTGAGACATACCCCTCCCACCGCCACTCACCGAGGTTGACAAAGCTCATGACCATGTCGGCGTCGGTGAGAAAGTGGCTGTCCTGCAGGCTGGCTAAAGGGGGACCCTGGGTACTGAAGACGGCCTTGTAGGGGTAGGAGAAGCCCTGGCCGTCGGGCCCGCTCTCCTCCACCGCCATGGCGTTGTATAGGTCCAACATGAACATGGGCGCCGAGTTATGCTTTCCTTGGAGGTGCGGGCGCGGGCGATGGGGCAAGCCCAAGATGGACAGGATCTCCCTCTGCATCTCCCGCCGCTCCTGGCTGCGGAGGCGCCGGTGGATGAAGCTCGAGTGCACCTCGTTGTCCAGGCTGAAGTCGGCCAGGGCGGAGCGCAGCAAGAACAGAGGCGCCCAGAGAGCCACGAAGCTGTGTGGCGCCGTGGCGCGCAGCGAGCGCACGTGCATCTCGCCGGCTCTACGCGCGATCCGGGGCACCGGGGCCCGCGCCGCCCCAGGTGGCAGCGGAGGGGGCAGGGCAGCGGTCCACGACGCGAGATCACTTGCTGGAGACTAGTTTCGCCGCGGCCTTGCCACACATGGCCACTCCCCGGCCGGCTGCGCTCTGCCCGGGACGCCTCTGTCTTCTGCTCAGCCCTGGCGCGGGGCCCCTCGGCCCGCACTCGCCGGGACGCACCGCAGGGTTAGCACAGCAGCTCGAGAGAGCTATCGAAAGAGCGAGGAGGCGGGCCGGGATGGGAGGAGCAGCAGCCTTGCAGACCTTGGAGTCCGGAGAGTGAGTGCCGGGGAGGCAGCTGAGCGAGCCCTCGCTCCCTTCTCTGGCTCGGGTAGCGCCCAAGCCTGCGGACACCAGCTACAAACCCTCTTCCGACTTCCCGCTCCCAGAACAGGGGCCCCGGGTCGCTGCTCCAGCCCTGCGTGCCCCGGATCTCCCTCTAGCCGCCTCCGGAGCCCCAGAGTGGTGCGCGCTGGGGCCGGGTAGGAGGAGGAGGGGGAGGAGGAGCAGGAGGATCGACCTCCCCGCCCCTCCCGCTCCCGCGGCCTCCCACCTGCGCCCGGCCCCGCCCTCCCCAAGCTTGGCCCAATGGCTTCATTCATTCCTCCTAGGGCGCTTTACAAATATTTACCGAGTGCCCACCATGTGTCCGGTACCTGGACCGACGCCGCAGGGGTGCGGAGAGAGGAGTCCGAGGCGGCCCTGCCCTCTCGGAACTCGCACTTGGAGGTGGCCAAAGTGAGACCTGTGTCACCTTCGGGCTGTGGTGGGAAAGTACCGGAGAGGGAGCGCGGGAATCCGAGAAGGCTCCTCGGAGGTGGCCACCCTTGGGCCTGGCTCGTCTCCAGCCCTCCCGAATACTCCATTTGCTGCAGTCATCCAGACCCCCTCCGCACACCCGCTCGGCTGCCAGGTCTGCTACCCGGGCCATTCCTCCTCGGGGGACGTTCTCTCCCAGCCCCTCCCCCTCGGGTGCCACTTCCTCTGGGAAGGAGGGGCAGAGATAATGTGGAGATAAGGTTGTTTCCTCCTACGGACGTTACTTTTATTTTCTGCACTTCACTCCCCAAAACACACACACACACACACACACACACACACACACACACACACACACACAGTCTTGATTTGCGCTGTCTATGGTCTTGCGCGCCCCCTCACCCCCAAGTCCAGCACCCTGAGTGTTCAGATTTGGCTTCTAGGCTTTTTTACCCTAGTATTTTGAACCCAGAACCTGGGGATCCCCTGATGTTGCAACTTTGTTGAGTGCATAAGTGAAATTTGGGACTAGAAAAGGCTCTCACCCTCTCCTGGGGGGGGGTCCACCCACCCCTTATCCTGACACAAGTCTCTTAGTCCTTCTTGGTCAGACACCTCCCAGACCCAGGCAGGGCTGAGGAGTAGGCAGCAGCTGGTCATTGTACCCAAGTTCATGGCGCAGGGCTGTTCAGGAGACCTCCCAGCTGCATTTTCCTGTCCCCGAAGGACCAGCCACCCTCTCCTCACACAAGAAAGGCTCTAAACACTCTGCCTCTGGGGCTTTCAGTGGATTGCTGCTCTTTGCGGCCTCAGTTTCCTTATCTGAAAAATGGGAGCAATGCAGGTTTCACCCAGAGTGGCAATGGGGCTGTGGGAGGGTAGGGCAGGCTTCCTTGCTCTCCTAAAGGCTGGCTTCCAGAGGACCCAGGGAGTCTGAGGTGAAGTGTGAGGGGCAGAGTTTGGGGAAGGGCATTGGGAAGGGGGCCCTCTTGGAATCCTAGGGTGAGAAGGGACAGCCTGGTGAGAAAGTCTCCTATAATCCCCCTGCCCATGGGGATTTCTGACAACAGGGCTGCCTGAGGCCTGCAGGATTTAGACAACAAAAGAGGCCTGCAGGCAGGTCTTAACCCCAGGCTGTGGATGCTGCCAGTACTGAGTCCCTGGCCAGTACAGAGCCCTGAGAGTCCCCTCCCTGGACCTGCTTTGCCTTGTGAACTGAGGCCATGCTGGCTGTGAGCTGTGAGCTGGTGTCATAGCCTCTGGTCACCATGTTACAGTTCTTGATAATGAATAAACAAAAGGCCTCTACTTTCACTTCAGCAAACCCTGTGGCCAGCCTGGATGCCACACAGGGCCAAGCAGGAGGACATAACAGTGAAGGAGCCAGCATGGTGACCCCTGTGACAAGCTGGTCCTCGGGCCCCTGGAAACAGCAGGGACCCTCAGTAAGGTCTGGGAACCAGAATGGAGCAGTCCCTTCCTTCTGCCTGGAAAGCACCAAAGCCAGGTGGAGGAGGCCCCCAAGAAAATAGAGACAGAACATCTGGCTGGCCTTTGGGTGGAGGGGGACATCTGACTCAGGAGCTGCAGGGGGGTGACAGGAAAGCCACTGTCCATAGGACAGCACACAAGCAAGACCCCTCAAAGAGAGTGAGCCACCCAAGTAAGGTGAGCCATGGACGGAGGGCTGCTGAAAGAGACACTTTCCTGGAAAAGACATCAAGAAGAGGAGCCCAGCCAGCAAGTGCCCGAAGAGCAGAAGCGAGAACTAGGCTAACCCCAGACCTTTCTGAAGCCTTAGCCAAAGCCCCACAGGAACTATGCTGATCCCAATGCCAGCTTCAGTGCAGGAAGTGGCTTCCTTCCAAAGTCTAGAATGACATCAAGTTAAGGTGTACTGCTCAAGGAAGCCTCTTAGTTCAAATCCTTGGCTCCATCTGTTGGAGCATCGCCCTAGCCAGCAAGGTGGGGTCATTGCAGAAGGAGGATCAGGTCTGGCTGCTGCCGATTTCCATATGGAAAACACTCCTGTGAGGGGTTCCAATCGACTCCTCCACCAAAAAGGCCTAAACGAAGGATCCTAGTGTGTCTCCTGCTGGTCCCTCCCTGAGGACCCCACACACCCACACAAAGCCGATGTCTGCTCACCAAGTACCTGTTGGGTAGATGGATCAAGCCAACGTAACCCAGAAGGCCAATGTCTCAGGGGTGGACCATGAAAGGCTGCCCTTCACCCAGGTTCCCACCTCCCTGTGGCCACCTTTTCTCATTCCTCAATTCTGGAGATAAGATTCCCTCTGAACTCCAACCACCCCCCAGTCATCATTATCTCTGCTTCCTCTTCCTCCCAGAGGAGTCCCCAAGACCTCAGCAGACCCCAGCTCTTTCTGGATGATGGGGCACGAACAAGCAGGACAGAAGCATCCCTGGAGCACCCAGGCCATCTCAGGGAAGGCTTTGGGGATGCTTAGCGACAGCCTTGTGGAGAGGAAGTGACAGCCTGGGTCCAGTGACAGGAAACTGGCCAGCTCCTGCCTTAGTTTCCCAGTCTGTAAAATGGGGGCCTAGGAGCTTGTGACTCCCAAGGTTGCTTAAGGATTCACAAGTGCCCCACATGGAAAGGGATCTGCCAGCTGCCTGGAGTACAGAGGACATCCTTGGTAAATGTTAGTTGCCATCTGGTAAGACTAAAAACACCCCTGGAGGAAGCTTCCGGCAGTTAAAACGAACAGAACTTTCCATGGTGGTCTGCACAGAGGATCAAGACAGCCCTGAGCAGATAGCAATGGTGTGTGAGGAAAGGAGGCCCAGTCAATTTTAAGGCTCCTGAATTCCGGTCCCCCTGCCAGCTTCTCATTGTCCCCAGCCCCCACCCCAGGCCAGCCTGGGCCCAGAGACTTCCTGAGCAAGCAGGCCCTGACCCACACCAGCCCCACCCCCAACCCGGCAGGCACCCAGCACAGGCTTCAGAGTGTAATGTGATCCCCCAGGCTGCTCCACACCTGGGCCACCTGGGCCTGGAATGGAGGGGTGTCGCTGTGTCTGGAGGCTGCTCTCACCAGCTAGCCTCCCAGTGCTGGGCAAGGAGTTTTCATCCGGTGCACCACCAGTCACACCCCGCAGAGATGATGTTGATCCCAACAGCATATGTCTCCAAGGCTATAAAAAAGAAAAGAATTCTGCTGATGTATACATTGCAGAGCAAGGTGGGACCTCATCTTCAACTGCAGAGTCTCATTCCATCTGCCTGGGGAGCGGGAGCTGAGCCAGCCTAGGGGGTCCCTGCACAGCTATGGGGTACAGGCAGTCCCCCTGCTCCCACCCAATCTGGTCAAGGCCAAGCAGCCTAGATCTCAGACCCAGAGTGAAAAGCAAGCTCTCTCCGCCCTTCCACGCCCCTCCACCCCCCTCCCATCCCCACCCCCATCAAACTTGCCTCTCTCTCCATTCTCTCTCTCTCTCTCTCTCTCTCTCTCTCTCTCTCTCTCTCTCTCTCACACACACACACACACACACA